GACGAGCAAGACACCTTCCACTCTCTGGCGAGCAAGACACCTTCCACTCTCTGACGAGCAAGACACCTTCCACTCTCTGACGAGCAAGACACATTCCACTCTCTGACGAGCAAGACACATTCCACTCTCTGACGAGCAAGACACCTTCCACTCTCTGACGAGCAAGACACCTTCCACTTCATTAGGCCAGTTATCAAAATACTGAGTTAAAAAATCTGTGTAAAAAAACATGGATGTTTTTTCGTTCACTGTCACAGGGAAATCATAGGTTACAAGTCTACAAGACGTTCAAATGTTCAAACGTTATAATATAATTGTTTCTTACACATGATAGCTGGTGATATTCCTGAAATGAAACTGCAGTTTTTTCCCATCTCTCTCTCTCTCTCTCTCTCTCTCTCTCTCTCTCTCTCACCCACTCACTCACTCTTAATCTCTCTCTCTCTCTCTCTCTCTCTCTCTCCCCACTCTCTCTCTCTCTCCTTCCCTTTCTCCATCTCTCTCTCTCTCTCTTTGTTTCTCTCTCTCTCAACATCTTAACATATTTGTTAGTTTGTCATTGTAACAACACTGGTGTATAATTTCATCTCTTCTTTCCTCCCTCATTTCTCTCTTCTTCCTTCTTCTTTCCATTAAAAGCTAGACTCAGGGCTTCACCTTCAAAACAATCTATCTGGGTCGAATTAAAATTATGGTATTTCACTCAAACAAAACCAGAATTCTGCAATGTCCTTACTGGTACTTCAAAGAAATATTTCAGGATGATATGCGACGTGCACTGATAAAAAGGGTTACCTAATTTTAGCCATATGAACATATTCAATTTATAAGTTGAGTTTGTACAATTCTTTAGTAAGAGTTGATAAAAGACAAATTAAACTCAAAGAAAGTGGTATCAGCAGAAAATCTACAAATCTGATCCCTGTTCTGGTTTTTGACCGGTATCTTCTTTCGTGGATTGTGAGAGGTAACTCATTTTGTCAGCACACTTCACATAATATCTGTATTTTTAAGAATGTGAAACCAATGGCTTTCCCACTTGGCCAATACCTCATGAAAGAGTCGAAAACTTAAGCCAGTAGCCATTGGTGGCGGGGAATGGGCAACGTGAACCCTACCGGAATTCCACGGTCCCAGGGCAGTTAGGTCTTTCCAGTCTCTTGAAAACTCCTAGTACCCTCCTATCCTCAACATGAATGGCCTCTTCTCAGGGTGGGCAGACAGTCCACAGACACCCCAGTCCACAAAAAGAATGTGAAAACATCTTCCTCATATTGTTGCTCTGGAAGCATGTCCATTAAAGAAACGCCCTTTCCATGATGAAGGAGAGAGAGACACAAGTTTTTCCTCAAGGCTGAGAAGAAAAAAAGGTAGATGGGCAAACCAACACAGTTTCGATGTTACGAGAACATTCTGTCTGTCTGTCTCACACACACCTCACAACGTCAGACAAGACTCAGACAAAAATCGAGTCAAATTCCAACAAAGCACCACTCAGAAAGAAGCTTAGCATCTATCTATACATTTATAACCCCAAAAAAATTATTATAAACAGCAAAAATGTACAAAAAACTTGGTAAAAAAACCGTCCATGGATCATGAGGTATGATGTGGCTGATATTACTATATCCTTGCATTGCCAGACAGCAAAGTTGTTGGTTGGGCTGAGCTCGTTGAGACGAATCTGCGGAGAAAGCGCACGCCTCCTCCAGTGGGCTATGACCAGACGTACAATCCAAAACTTCAACCCGTTGGCCTTTGTTCTTTCCACTTCCGACACGACAGAGCATTGAATAAAAGAACAGATACGTTAATATCATATCATAATCAGCATGCATTACAAAGTTTTTGGGAGAATTAAAAACCAATTCTGCAGAGAGCTGAAACCTGTTCCAGGAGACCAAAAGGGAGTACAAACAGAGCCGACTCTGACGACCAAACATTTTGTATTTTGACTCGTGGATGTCGTGCTTGGTTCTGGAGTCAAACAGCATGACTGAAAACAGCATCTTTCAGCGGGATTGACTACTTCTAAATTATGTTTTCGCTGACGTAGACATAGTTTAGATCATGGAGAAGGTGGGCTCTTTTCACTCAGCCTTTCGGCGCCCCAGCAGACAAGACAGAGATACTTGATATACCTTCACCCAGGCAGGAACTGAACCCATGAGTTTTGTGTCAACTACGAAGACACCATACTTTTATCTTGCACAAGCTTTTTTTTTTTGAGTCAAGAGACGTATAATCTACCTGTAAGATATGAAAGTTGACTTCAACAGAACCCCCGCCCCTTTTCCCTATTAAAGATTTTTAAAAACCCATTGGGAAACCAGAGGGTTCTAGCTGTGCAGAGACATTGTGTAACCTGCAGTTCAGAAACTATTCATCTCCCAGGACTCAGAGCATGCAGAAATGTTCCCAGAATTCACTTCATGATGCAGGAACGCAGGTCCTCTTCACATACGCCATCTCCTCCCTGCGCCACGATGAGACAACGGGCAATCTGGGCCATTGATCAACTTCCACCACGACCAACCTCTCCACCTTCCACAACACAGGTTGAAAGTCATTCGTTAACGCTGCTCAACTGACAACAACAACAACAACAACAACAACAACAACATTTTGACAGCCTTGTGTCAGACTCTGCCTATATGTCTTGTTTGAAAAGTGAAGCGTGACCCGACCTTCCACAGGACAGCTGATTTATTTCAGGCCGGGCATTCTTCACCTCCAGTCTTAGAGTAGTGAACAGGAAGAAAAAAAACCAACCTAACGATGACTCTGTTGGGGTCAAGGTCGCATGTTCAAAAACTTGTTTTCCTCAGCCAGCTGCGTGAGCACGGAGCTCATGTCATTGACCACCATGTTGGATGTACTCATCAGAGAGTTATAGCGGCCCGAGTTCTGGGAGGCCGTGCGCAGTGACATGGGCTGGGGGCTATACGCGATGTTCTCTTGTGATATGGAGTTGATATTATCGATGAGATTCTCTGTGGATATGGAGGTGAGGTTGTCCATAAAGTCCTCTATAGGTGGCGCTGTCGTCTCTTTACAGTCCGTTGAGCTGGTGACCTGATTGCAGCCGGGCGACATTTCCATGGGGTTGTTGTAGGGGTCGGTGTTGCGAGGGAAGGCGGCCAGGTGAGGCAGATTGGGGCTGGGGTAGGGGCCAGAGTTTGGGAGCAAGGTCGATGGGTGGTGGACGGACTGCGGCATTGTGGGCTGCATCTGGCTCGGGTGGTGGAGACCCGTAACTGTGCCGTTGTTGTTGTTGTTGTTGCTGCTGTTGTTAGTGTTGGTGTTGTTGTTAACGGCCGGGTGGCAAGGGGGTGGTCTCAGAGGCATGGGCTCGTTAGGACTGGCCATAGAGCTTCTGCCCACTGCGGGGTGACTAGGGCACGTGACCGGGTGGCCGTGGTGGCCTGGGTGTCCAGGGTACGGGTTCGGACCCCCCGCTCCGCCCATCGCCAGCTGAGATGGGGGGATCTGCATGTTGCCATTGGCCCCCGGGGGAGGGTGGGGAGGGTGGGGAGGGTAGGGAGAGTGTGGTGGGTATGCCGAGTGAGGAGGGTAGGGGTTCGGAGGCGGATGAGGCATGTGAAGAGGTACTCCAGAAGGCGGGTACATTTTGCCGGGGAATCCATCCGGCTGTGGAACTCCGGGATACGGATGCGGATTCATCATGGGACCTCGGCCAGCCATCATCTGCTGCTGCTGCTGCTGTTGTGCATGTGCTTGTGCTGGGTTCTGCTGTAAGTGCTGCTGCTGTTGCTGCTGCTGTTGCTGTTGCTGCTTTAACAGGGCTTGATTGCGACTGGCTGCCTTTGCGTTAGCTGGAATCTGAGACTGACTTATGTGTGGAACTTGCACCTGGGGGCTCGCGCGTTTTGGTCTGTGATTGGCCGGTTTCTCAGTGGATGGTGGGGCGGGGCTGAAGCCTCCGATGAGCGGGTGTCTGGGCATCATCATGCCGCCGTGACCGGCGTGGAACTGGTGGTGCTGGAAGTGAGGGGGCGGGGCTTGGGGCATGACCCCCGGAGCTGCTGACGCTGACGACTGCTGCTCGTACGCTGCTGCTGCTGCTGCTGCTGCTGCGGCCACCGCCTGCTGCTGCTGCCTCTGCTGGTGCTGCAGCTGCTGCTGTATCTGGTGCTGCATGAGGTTGTGCTGGGAGAGGTAGGCCCCTCCTCCTCCCCCCACCCCCCACTGGGCTCCTCCTGTTGGGGGCGGGGCACCGTCGGCGGCCATGTTGTGTGGAGCGGCTGAGAGGTCCCGCATGATGCCGCCGGGGCCGGGCAAGGGGTTCTGGGATATCCTCCCTGACATGGCGGCGCTATTGTGGTGACCGACACCGTTGACCGGAACACCTTGACCATTGGAGGCAGCTTCGGCTGAGATCAAGTTAGCAGATTGCTGCTGCTGCTGCTGTTGCTGTTGCTGAATTGCACCGATATTACAAGTTAATCTACCACTGTCTACGTGGTTTAGAGGTTCCACGTTGTTCACCACTTGACCTTCTGGAAGAGGCGGCATCTTGGGAGAGCCCAGTCTATGGCCCATGCCGTGACCCGGGGGCCACGGACCGGCAGCCATGTTTGGCCCGAAATTGGCTCGGGGTGGCGTGTTACCCTGGAAGTCCTCGAGAGCACCTCCCACGCTACCCTGAAGGTCGGCGAATCCCGTCTGCAGCTGGAGATTCCCGGCTAAAAGATTCGAGTCGTGAGGTCCTAGTGACAGTCCCTGACCGGCAAACTCCGACTCAGGGTGTCCGCCCCCACCACCGGCACACGGAGACAGAAACATCCCTCCTTCCGGCTGAAGGTCACAGGGGTCAAAGTTCAAATCGGCCGTGGCAGAGAATTCTGTAGACATATTTCCTGCGGCGGATTCTTGGGCGTCGTCCGCTCCCCCTGTACCGGCGACGATATCCTGGCGGTTACCGCCCTCGTACTGCTCGTTGAGGAAGCGCTGCATGTCGTCGGGAATGAGCATGTCCTCGCTGTCCTCCAACATCTTCTCCTCTAGCTCCGCCTCCGTAATCGTGCCCTTGACCCCTCGGGTCAGCTCGTCGGGAAGACTGCCATCCGTGGCGATACTGCTGCGGGATGAGTGGAAGGTGTTGTTGGAGCCGGCCTTCGTCTGTAGACTCTTCATGCTGGGCGGCGTGGGGAGCGGCTTCATCACGTTGAGGCTGTGGTAGCGCTTCAGGGACTCGAAGTTCGGATCTTTCGTTCTCACGGGGTCACTCGCTCGACGGATTTCTCGATTTGGTATTTCATGAGGTAGAGGTGTGCGACACGGGGTGCTGGTTCGAGCCCCATCCAAGTCCCGTCTTGTGGAAAAATATCTGAAAAACATTTTAAAGTATGACGTAAATCATAAAATAACAACAGAAGCAAATTTTGAGTGGAAAGTTTTAGTTTTAGTTTTAGTAAGAGTTTTACGGCACTTGCAACACAATAAGGTTATATAAGTGCCAAAGATTAGAGGTGTTACAAGCTACAAGAGAGGAGAACAAACACAAAAAAGAAGGAGGGGAGATCAGGACGATAGATGTTTGATAGGAAAGAAGGAGCAAACCACACCAGAGCACCCGCCAACCACCCACAAATATCTGGAAAAACATTTTAAAGTGAATCATAAAATCATAAAATAACAACAGAAGCAAATTTGGAGTGGAAAAGAAGTAGAGGATAGCACAAAGCTGTCTTATGTTACAGTTAGCAAAAGCAAAGATAATTTTTAAAGATCCGAGATCAAACAAAACCAGTTTAGTTAAATATAGGGTAAAAGTCAAAGAAGCTGTTTTTCCACCAAATATAAAAAACAACAACCTCAGAACTCTTAAAAGCAAAAGTAACATTGAGGATTTCTAGTTCTTGTCACTTTGAAAAAACTTCAAAGACTATGCTTTCAGGTAAGAATATTTGTCAAAATTCAAGATCTTGTTGAGGTATTAGTTTTAACCC